CGATAAATTGGCGGAGCTCTCTGTGTAGTCTGTTGTCAAAAAGTATCAGTCAAGTTCAGTCTGATGGCTTTTGCTCAGGAGGATCACGCGAAGTGGGTGACAATAATGTCTCGCCAATTGGGTGATCTCTCTGTACACCACAGGGGAGAGGACCTGTGTCGTGTGTACACAACAGGGGAGAGGACCTGTGTGTGACGTGTCAGAGACTTTAAAGAGCTCAGACATTGATTTCTAAAACTCAGCAACAAAGAAACAAAGATGATTGCCACTGAGTATCCCTAGTATCCCGGGGGACCTCACGTTTCGACCGACGTTTTTCTGTTTCTGCGTTCGTTAACGTATAAATGTAATAACAGATCTTGTATACTCCCTGAGTGTTTACTAGGCTACAGTAATAGAAGTCAGCACCTTACCTCAGTCTGAGGCATCATTTGGGCGCAACTTTCTCCTGAACTCCTCTTTAGTTTGACTTCCCTGAGCCTATTGGAGTATCATTGACAGCTCCTGCATTCGCTTGGGATGGGGGGGGGGGAGTTATTGTTCCTGCATTAGGTAGGTTCGGCGGTAAGGAGGTGCTTTACATACAACTCTGATCTCTTAGGTGGTGCTGGAGAATGCAATCAGGCTTCCACTAAGGAAGGGGGTGCGAGGAAGATTTACGAAAACTGTCTCTTCTCTTAGGTATTGGAAGTTAAGTTGATACAATAGTTAAGGGGCTGTTAGTCCTTTCAGGACAAAGGCTTTGGCCCAGGGTTCAGACTTGAAAATGCAGTATGCCCGACTCCCTAGATACCCTTCCTCCTCGAAGAGAGAGGACGACTCACGATCTGCCTCCAACCAGTCCAATGACGAATAGAGCCCCGACTAATGGCGGGCAAGTACGATCAGTGATTAACATACCTCCACAGAAAGCAAGGTTTCTGAATGTTGTGTGAATGAAAATTAATCGCTCCAAATGTTAACCCATTTATCATCAAAAAGGTCCTTGATGATGAAGTGAGTCGCGGTTTTGATTTTGTCATTAAATTGTGAGATGGTAGTCTGATAGATGTACTGTTTAATTCCCAGATTAAGGATCTTAAACTGACGCAGATTCATAGTCTCCAAGTGAAAGTAACTCTTCCCGACGCCCGAGATATCCGTAAGGAAGTAATGTTTCACAGGGATTTCAGGACGATGGATGAAAGTGAAATCCTAGAGAATATGAATGACCAAAGTGTAGAAGTTAAATGTATTACCAAATTGGGGAATGTTCGCACATATAACTGGGACTGTGTTTCTTAACTTTTGCCCCTTAATGGATTCGAGAAGCGGTTAATATTGACTACGAACTTGTCCAAGTACGACCATACATTAAAAAAAAACAATGCGCTGCAATAGGTGCCAAACATTTGGTCATACCTCATTAGGATGCATTGATAAAGACACTAATAAATTCATTTGCGGTAAATGCGCTGGATCTCACGATACGATTATGTGCACTGAAACTACTTTCAAGTGTGCTAACTGTGGAGGTTCCCGTTGGTCAGGCTCTGCTAGAATGCTGCAGTCTGAAGAAGGAAACCGATACATCGGAATACACGAAGGAACATGAAGATAGTAACCGAGAAGCTAAGAGTAAAATTGAAGGCTTGACAAACAAACCCAATACTTCCTACGATGAAGCAGGGAATAGCAACTCAAATGCAGGTAGTATCAATCAAGAGTTGGCAGCGAAAGATAAGGAAATGGCTGAATTGATGGCAACTGTAAATAAATTAAGGTCAAATTAAAGAGCTGAATAAAACAATAAAATAAATTATTGAATCAAACCAGCAAAATCATCATGAGGATGATACCGGATCACAGCCCAGACCTTACCTTCCCATCCCCTGCTAGGATTTGGTCTCATTTCTGGTTTCTATCAGTGGGGAGCAGGAGATGGAGAATGCTGTCTCCAAATCTTCCCGAAAGAGGCCCTCGGGAAGCGAGATAGAGAGGTGCCTCCCTCCCAGAAAAAAAAAAAAATAAAAGCGGCGGACAAGGCACTTCCAAACTCTATAAAACGTAATCTTCGCATTAACCATTATACAGTGGAACTGTCGAAATCTTAGCATTAATCATTATACAATGGAACTGTCGAAATCTTAAATTGTTAGCTTCTTATGCTCCCAGTGTTATTGTTCGCCAAGAATCGCACTTGACGCACCTAGTCTCTAATGAGGTTGTTTCGCTAAGGAACTATCTCTCTTGGAAGGATCGAGAGTGTAGGGTGGAGGCAGAGTCGCCATGTACATCCATCAAAACCTCCCTTTCAATGGAGTGACTATTGATTCTACTTAGGAGTATGTCGCATGTAAAATAAAATCAGTATCACGTATCTGATTATTTGTTCAGTCTATTGTCCAACTTGTAATGTAATTTATGATGAGCTCTTTGCTCTCCAGGATAGTCTGCCACAGAATTTTAATGGTCATCACACATTATGGGGTTCCCTGCGAGTGAATGGTAGAGGCGAACAAGTAGGTAAGTTAATTGATGATTCCGATTAGTTCTTTACAATGGTAGTCCTATCGACCGATTA